CAAAAAATTTCTGAAAATTAATTCCTATTTATAAATAATTCATATTAAAAAACAGGGTTAAACTGGCATAATATATTATTTACAAAAAATGTTTGTCCAAATCCTTCTGTGCTTAATGAATGGTAAGGCATTTTAAAATGTATGAAACAGTATAATTAATTTTTTATTTTATGAAAAAATTGCACCATCAATTCCCATGGTAATTTCAAATTAAAACTGTTATTTCATGGAAAATGTATTTAATTTATGTGACAGAAAAATCTGTTAGGCAAGCAGCCAATTTATGATTTTTAAGCATATTGTCAAGGCAACTTTATTATACTCATGAGAATTTCTGCTGAAATTATTCATACTGCCCTAAAAGCAATAATAGGGTTGAGCAGTATTTAACTTAGAGGTAAATAATCAATCAATGTTTGTACTGCTAAGCATGCATTTATGAATTTTGTATTTTCTTTTTTACCCTTTTATTTACCTTGTTTTAATAATAGATGAAAAAGAGTTATCAGTAGGACTTAAGAAATGTCTCCTGCTAACCTACTCAAAATTTATAATAAATCAAATGAGACAGATTTGAGATGTATGGAAAATACTGCTATGAATTTATGATGAATCCTTTAAAAAGAATATAAAAATATGGTCTCGGGTCTAGTCCTCCTAAGATCAGTGAGGAAATTGCCACTGTTCTCAGAGCAGATTGGAATGTAGAGTGAATTATTGTAGTCCAAACTTAATTATTGTCATTATCTAAAACTGGCATGATTTCTGCCTTTTTTTTTACATTAATGTATATCAGTTAGTTAAAATGGAGTTAATTTTGCTTTAGATTGGTATAAAAGAGAACAGAAGCTAATTACATTCACTTTAACATTACAACAGAATGGCAGAAAGTTATTTAGTAAACATTTATGGAGTGGGCTGTAAGTCAATGCAAGTCTAATGCTAAGAAGCTTGGAGTGAACACGATTGATTCAAATGGGACTGTAACTTTTATAAGGAAAACTGGTTATGCAATCAAATTCATGCACTGAGTCCTTGATACACACATCAGAAAAAACTACTAACGACATTGGGAACTGAATATTAGCTATCTTTACTCTGTTTCCTTTATAAAGTTGAAGGGAAGCATTCAAAAGATCTCTCATCAGAGTTTAAAACAAACAAACAAAAAAACCGAAACAGACAAAACAAAAAACCAAAACCCCAGAACAAAACAAAAAGCCCAACCAACCAAGGAAAAAACCCCCCAAAACAGTGGAATTTAGGCAGTGGAAGTGTTTGAGTATTTTACTCATAAGCCCTTGAGCAAATAGAAATGTGCTTGGATCAACAAATGACATGCAAATGAAGGTCACTTTAAAAAATAAAAAAAAATGTTCCTACTCTGAATACTAATACCTCATAGAGAGTCTATAAAAAAAGTCTTAAGCATCTGGTGGAGCTAATTGGGGTGTAGACACGAAACATTTTTTTTTTCGACAACTTGTGTGTTGTAGCCTGCATTTTTCATGGCATAGGATGAATTTCAGCATGTTTCTTATAATGTAATTTCAACTTTTTAAAAGTTTTTGCAGTTCAAATTCTAAAACTAAGTGTTCTGTAGGTTAACTTTTAAATTTAAAAATCCTAAGTAGTCAAAATTGTACTCTGAGCAATGTCCGTAGTTCATGTAAATTCTAGGTAGGCAGCCCCCATATTTTTCAGTTATAAACAGAAGTGGGGATAGCTTTCAAGATATACTTTGCATTTCTTTTTCTTACTGGTGAATTTTTCATGGGCTCCCATTTTTGTTCCATATAATACCAGATTATATTTGCCACAGGATCATCTTGGACAGGAATCACCTCCTGCAGGTCTTATTTCTTTCTGTTATCTTGATAGGGATCCTACCATCACTAGCTTTCCAATTTAGGTACTCTAATGAAGAATCTAAATTAGGTGTGATGAATCTGGAACAAATAATTCTTGTGACACTAGGAGATTTGTTTGCTTAAAATCAGGCTGGCAAGGCATTTAAGCATGCAGGTTTTTTACTGCTCAATAAAGCAGTTAATCATATTTTAAAGTATAAGTGTGGATCGAAGTACTTTATTGAATCAGATCCTTTGAAGTTCACTGACCTGTAGTAAATTGGGAATTTCATAGCTGACTGTACAATTAAACTTTGACTCCAGGGGATATTTAGGTTTAAATTTCTCATTACAAAGTAATTCTGAAGTGATCTCTTTTCCTCCTGTAAAATGCAAAGAAGCTGTGAAGAGGTTAAACAAAAATTTTATTTTTGAATTCAAATCAAACTTTTATGCACAATTTTTCTCCTTTATTTCTCTGCTTCAGTTAGCAGGATATTTGCTCATAGCTTAACTTCTAGTTAATCTTTGAACCTTCAGCAAACTTTCTTTCACTTTTTCTAGGTTCTATTCCTATAAAAAAATACCTTTTTTTGTTTGTTCCAGTCTCTTCTGAATTATCTTTAAAAAGATAAAGGGAGCAGCATAGTATAGAGTTATGTTCTACAAAACCCACTAGTACTGAAAGCTCACTCGATGCTTGAAGTATTAAATTTGGCAACTACTGAATGCTTCTCACGCTAATAAAGTGACTTTCATTGAAAGTAATATTTATCTGACTTGTTCTGTGTTGGGTATGTCTTTAACATTTTCCAGAGGAAGAGAGCAAAGAGGCATCTCTTAAAATATAAATTCAGGGGCCTCTGTTCATTATTACTATCTATTTCTCTCAAAACGAGGATTTAGGGTCTCTTCTTTGTATCAGATTCCACTTAATGCTTCCTGTGGAGTCTGCTTCCAGAGTCAGACATGATTAATCCTCCATTCATCAAAGATTTTGGAAATAGAATCGTAGAATCATTAAGGTTGGAAAAGACCTCTAAGGTCATCGAGTCCATTTCACTTTTTTTTTAAACTTTTAGAAAAGTCAGTACTCCTCTATCTGGGCTTGATCCTTGCACTTTACTTGCAGGTTTCTTGCTTAGTCAGTTTTAGGGATGGAGCAACATAGATACCTAGTGTAAATAATTACTTCCTAAGATACGCACGTGCCTGTACTGGGTTCGGTGGTGGTGATAACTTTAGAAAGACCAGGCCTTATTCTCATGACCCAATTTGATCTAGCTTGGGAAACTCATTTGCAGCCAATTTGGAACTTGCATGTTTCACCCTGTGAGCAGCAACCACATCCATCTGTTTCATCATGTAAAAAGCAAAGACAAACACTTTGATGGTGATGGCTTAATGTGTATCGCAATATAGCAGTGCATTATTCTGAACGAATGGTTTGAAGGAGAGGTTTACACAGACACACTAAAGAGGAAGCATCTCAAAACAACATTACAGCCAGACAATTAGGATACAAATGATGTATGTGATATGGTCGTATAACTGCACATCACACATACATGATGCAGAGATGGCTATGGAAAATACTCACTTTTTCACTTGATTCTGCTTCCTTTTGGCTTCTGCACCCCTTTGGTGCATAGCAGGGAAGTAGGTATTTGTGTTTAGTGGAAGAAATTACACTGACTAACAGATACAAGCATTTTACTCATAAATTTATATCATAGACTATTGCTGAGTAGCCTGACACACAACCACTACAAATGGTGCATTAAACATTTAATGAACCCAGGCTGAACCCCTGGCCCTGTTGAAGCCAATGGAAGTTTTGCACTTTTTTGGGGGGTGGGTGGGGTGGGTAGAGGGGGGCAGCATTTTATGCTGGTTTCTAATTGTTTGTTAATCGCTAAGTAGAAAATCAGAAATGATGCCTTAAAGACAGCATCCTTTTCTTCTGTGCAATTACTTCATAGAGTTCACCACGAGCAAAATATGGTGTTCAACAGGGGCTGAGGAGGAGATTGCCAGATCTGGTTTCCAAAGTAGTAGATGGTATTTCTACGACGTGTGTGTATTAGTGCAGCGCATCTGCGGTGCTCTGTAGGAGAAGTATGCTCTGGCCTGGTGTGCATCTTAAATACTTTCAAAAAGTACAGTAGCTGTTATCCTAAAACATGAAAGGAATAAAGCAGGATTGTGGATTTTGTTGGAGGCTCTTGCAAAAGAACGCCTATGTGGCGAGATTACTTCCATGAAACCTCCTGTTGAGTAGGAATAACTTACGTGCACTAAATATTAACAGTAAACTAAATGCCCTTGCTTGGGGAACAAATTCATGTATGTGAGCAACAGGAGGGAATAAAATCCACTCTTGCGGTGAGATGGAAGCGTTGTGTGTTATGGTAGTGCTCAGTCACTGTCTTCAATAAACTAATGAAACCAGCTAAGGCTCGATGGGAGCTCCAAGGTGTAAGGTTTAGTGTGATGACGTTACGTCCTTCCTTCGACTGAAGCTGTGGAAATGAAAGCAATGGGGTGTGCAAAACAACGTATTCTGACGTGGACCAGGAGTAGAATCCCACTGAGAGCTTAGGGATGGGATCTGAGATACTGCAGATGATGCTGCTGTGAGGTGGTTGTTTCTTACTTTATATATGCATTGACTATTTCATAATATGCATTGCAAATGAGTGCTTGTGGCATGAATGCTGACGGCATGAATTATAATTGCCGTTTTAAATCAATTTTAGGTAACTTTCCGGTAACTGACATATACTGTACTTTCTACAACTCCCTTTATTTGGGGGGCGAAAATGCATTTTCGTTTCAATTTTCAGGTCAAAACATCTGCAACCCCAAGCCACTGCATTATTTACCCCACGCCGTTTTTCCCTGTGTCAGTGAGGAAACGCTGTGGCACGGGTGTGAGACCCTCCCGCGGATGGGTTCACCCCGCTCCACTACAAGTGAAACGGCGCCGAGGGGAAGCTAAGGAGCGGGTGAGGCTCCCCTCGGGCTGCGCGTGCCGCGCGTGGTCGGTGTGGGGCGTTTGCAGCTCCCGTGCGGAAAAAAAACGGGGCCGCCGCGGCCGGTGACTCGCGCTGTGTCCGCGGCCTCCTGAGAGCCCCGCGCTCCGCCCACCTGTGATGCCATAGTGAGGAGGGGCTTTTCTTCTGCAGACTCCTCCCTCGGAATCTCCTTCATCACCATGGCAACAGCCTTATCTGCCGCCCTAGAGCCTTTCCCCTACAACAGCGAAATCAACAATGGCGCGAGTCAGCAGCGAGCCTGGCAACAACCGCTTCCCGACAATACACCCCAGAACCATCCAGTCGTTAAACTGACGGCGTTTACGGCTGGGAGCAAAGCTTGGTTGAAAGTAGGATACACAAACGCTGTTTAAAAATAATAGTAAATTATCTGCGAACCCATTAGTTAGCAGCGCAGCCGGGGTCTAGCCGTAGTCTCTCGTGACTTGTTAGAGTTGCCCCATTGAAGCCAACGGGAATATGGCACTGCCTTGCTGGGGCAAGGCTGGCTGGAAATACTCCCGTGTGAAGGGAAGGATTTGGACCTTTTGCAGGACAGGATCTCCACAGGAATCACGTCTGGAGCATCAGCCCCTTGATTTAATTTCATTTACCCAAAAGTTTGTCTGCAATACCTGTTTTTTTGCTTAAAAATAGCATCAAGCTGATTTTGCAAATAAAGCACAGTTCCCTTTAGTTCACTGAGGCAAACTCTCCCTGAAACTTGAAAGTGTAACTTGTAGGGCTGGGCCCACAATGTTTCTAGCTCTAGTAACATTTTAAAAAGCAATTTACATCATATAAACAGTCTGGTTTTTTGCTAACAGAATATATGGAGCCAAATTCTGCCATCATAGGCATTGCTACAGTTTTCCCAAAAATGGTCATTGTTGCTGAACTTACTGTAAGGATTTTTTTTTTAAACTTCACTTTTCTTAAAATTCACTTAATATGTTGTAAATATTCAAGACAAAGTTAAAATATTTTAACATTATTTAATACTTCAGTCAAAAAATGCACTAACGTGCTATGCTCTCTCTGAAGCCACACTTTATTTAAAAAGGGTATTTTTCTTGAATTCACATGGATTTCTGTATTTTGATCTCTTACACTCTCGCAAGTGACAGAGAAAGTCCGAGCATACACATAAAGCTTAGCAGCAGAACTGTATTACGCTAGTGACCCTGAGCATGTCCTTACTATTATACTTTAAATGCTCCAATTGATTTCCATGGAAGTTTCAGCTGTGCAAAGACTGCAGGATCTGGCTCCATAAAAGCAGTATTTCACACTAGACTTAAATATATTTAAATACTTAAAAGTCTATTAACAGAAGGGGTTCTTTACTACCACATCATATACTAGAATTACTTCCACTAGCACTGTATTCTGTGTCCAGTAAAAAACCACTACTGCTTATACTGAACTACAGGTTGTTTCAGAAACATTTCATCAATTGCAGGTAAAAACATTACATGCTATTGCAGTTTTTGGACAGATTTTATTAATCACCTCGTCAATCTTAGGTAAGCTTGCTTGTGCAACACATCACAGTTACCCTACAGAGAGTTCTTTGCATGCTGCAAGAAATTCTCAGAGCAGAAGTGTCATAAATGATAAGCATGCTGGATTTGTGATGCCTTTGATATCCAAAGAACTGCAAAGTCATTGTAAAATTAAATATATTTAATTTAATGAGAATTACTTCTAATTGGTAAGCTTATCTAAAGGTTCTTGGCCAATTATGTATATACTCTGTTCATGATTCATGACATATTCTAGGTCTATGAAGCTTGTTTCTAGTATGACGCATGGAGCTATCATTAGCTAGCACTAATAACATGCTATTTGATCTTTATAAAATGTAGTCCTTTTGTGCCGAGTGGTAGAACAAAATGGTTTATCAGCTAGAAAGGATGCATTGGAAAGCATGCAGTGCTTTTTATTTCTTGCAGAGTAAAAACCCACCAAAGCAAAGGTCAGGTCACTTTTTTGAAGACAGAGCCACTTTTTCTTCAAGGTTTCACCTACTGCCTGAAAAGAGTCATGATACTCGTATTAGTGCCTGCTGTTAACCTTTCGTAAACATAACTCTGCAAAACCCTGGGAGTGGTTGATACCATATATAAAATCTGTCTTATCAGTTTAAAGTGGCTATAGTACAATGTGGAATAGTAATCTGATGAATACCGCTCTGCTATTTTTTATGAGTAGACTTTGTATATTTGCTAGTCAAAGCAAGTGGTTTGATACTACTTTTTTTTATTAGGTCTTTTTCTGGTTTTCCTAAAAGACTACATGTAAGTCAGGTTGATTTATTTCTGGCTGTTTGGCCTATGGTATGAAAAACATTATTCTGAAACTAGAAGTTAGTAGGCAATTTCCTGTATACCAAAGAGAAAGGCACTGCAGTGAAATAGCTTAAATTCGCAGATTCTGGTGGAGGGATACACAGGTGACCAATTCATTGGAAAATCCAGGTTTTTTATTCTGGTGACTAGAAATGGATTTTGTTGTCCAATGTAATGTATGTAAGCTTGAAAATGTTGGTTGCTGTATTCGCTGTAGTGAATACTATATGTTTAATCCTTGCCTATGAAGTGATTAGGCAGAAGAATTGGAGAGGAATAAAAACAAGTTCTTCTATGACCAGGACAACCTTGTTACTGTTGTGAACTGCAGCTGATGTGATAATCTGTAGCATATTTATTACAATAACCATTGAGGGATTTTTTTTTTTTAAAGAAGGTGCTATTTGCTTGGCCTCCTTCAATATTAAGTGTTGTTTCTTAGCGTTTTGGCTTGCTGTATGTATTTATCTGTTACAGTAGCTTATTGCTCAAACCCTGTAATTCTGTAACAGCTAATTTTACACTTGCAAGATCTTTAAAATGAACAGTTTGGTGACAGTGCAGATTTGCAAGGTAAGTTATTTTCTCATGCAAACAACAGTTTAATAATTTAGTAAATAAATTTCATCATTCCCTATTTGTCTGCAATATATAGATGGAAACAATTGTGATGCAGAGCATGACAACTTATGTACAAATCAAGACAAACATGAATTGATGAAGGAAAAATATATTATTTGTTTTCATGGAACATACTGCTTGAGAAAAACTGAGACGTGTGCTAGTATTTCATTATTTGATTTACTTAAAATGGAATGGTTCCTTTAGGTGATGTCTCCAGAGCAAAATAAAGAGTAGTGTTCAGAGTATTCCCGTGATGCTAAATGTTTATAATAGAATTGGGTTCAAAACTTAATAACGGTTCCTCTAGGTTTATCCTTTGGGATCAGATAATGGATAGTAATTGACATTTCCAAAGGAGTATGCTGATTTGGCAGGATTTTGTAAGGAAATACACTATTTTTTTGCAGCTGATGTTTCTGAATAGTTCCAAATTAAGTTTTGTACAAGTCACACTATTTAGATGTGGTACTTAGTAGTAAGTGCTTAATTAAGCTACTGTAAGAGCATATTAATGTAAATTTCTAGGATAGCATACAGGCTTCTGGTTTTTTTAAATCACTGATGCATATAGGTTTGTAACCGTGCTCATGTACGATAAAGCTTTTCTTCTCTAAGTACATGGGACCAATAGATCACCTTCAAGTCATGATGAGCAGATCAGTTAGAATGAATACATGGTCATACTTGAAACATTACTGTTTGATGAAATACTATATGATTCTGTAATTCTTTTTTTCGTTACAGTTGTTTACAAATTTGTTCTTGTATATGAAAAGCCAATGGCTAGTGCCTTGTAAATATTTAACGTTTTGACAACAGTATTTAAACTATAATGATTAATTACAGAAATTCTTTGTCATCATCTATGCAATAAAAGGATTTCATCTAAATCCATAACATAATTAGAAATTTGCTTTTGACAAATATTTAAGGTACTTGAGTCCCAAATTCACCTTTCAGGAATATTTATACCATTTATTCTTGTGAGAAAGTGAACGGAAAGAAATTGAGTGATCGGATTCTTTTTTTTTTAAATATGTATACACGGAGAAAGACATTCTGCCTTTATGTAAACCTGTGCTGTTCCATTTATTTTCCAAAGATCCTGCCAAGCTGTTTCAGCTTTACTTGACACACTACAATGCATTGCTATTCGCTGAGTTATTGGAAATCATCTCAACATAGGCATATTTAAATTTAAGCGTTTGTAAAATAGAAGTTTTAACACAGCTTCCCTTGTAAAGAAATTTGATAGAAAAAAGTGATATGCAGACAGTGCTAGTACATGTATGATACAATTACTGATTTCATGTGGCATTTCTCTTTTCTAGTTGAAGAGAAACAGAATAACAACTTGCTGTATTTATGACTATAATGCCAAAAAAGTGACCAGCTATCCTGAACTTTTCACATTGGGCTATTGAATTGAAGTGTGTTTAAAAACAAAATAATACCAAGTACTTTTCAGTCCAGAATATCTTGAAGTACTGATATGCTCTTTTAATAGCTTTAATAGATTGGGGAGGGCTTTTATAAAGCAAACTTTATGAAAGATGCATTAGTGGTAACTTTAAGTTATAGTAGCTGTAGTCCTATGTTAGGAGAAAGAACAGATAGAGCTACTGTACATATTGAACTTGGGATGCTCGGCTGCTGTCCAGATCCCCAGGCAGCTGATATATTAGACTTACAGTACCAATTAAGCAGCCTATTCAAAATGGCTTCATGCACCACAAATCTTTGTGTTTTGTGCAATCTAAAAATGAAGGGACAAACTTGGCTTTGCTGTTTAAAATTATGCAGCGCTAACATTTTTACCTCTCAAAATGAGCACACACAGCTATGCAATGGTACCATGAGAGTCCTAGTGTCCACAATACGACTGTGAGATCTTGATTTCACAGATGATCTGTGTTTATTACTTTGTATTTTTCCCTTCTCAGGCTCTTCTGTTCATGTTTTCTCCATATGTCTGTCTTTTCATCATCTATGCTTTTTTACTGTTTTCTAGTGGTGTTATATCTTGCATCTTATATATCATTAAAAATAATGAGAAACCATATGGTGAGGCTGTTTTATGAACCAATATAAGATGGATATTTAAACAGAAAATTCTGTTTTATCAAAGCTCTTGGTAGTTTTTTATTATGAGCTTAACAAAGTGAGGTTTATATCTAAGATAAATGGGAACATAATTCCTTTAGGCAGTGCTCAGTTGACTGTGGTGTGGAGACATGTGAACAGGCTATGTGTCCTGAACTGAAAGCAGTATTGTCAAGGTAGACCAGGTTTCAGGACCTGAGCTAGTATTTCCATATTGTACTTGCATCCTTCAGAACCTCTTATCGAGCTTTCTCTTAGTACTGGTCTAACCTCTCTTGACTCGTGACCTTTAGGAGTTCGTTCTTACGAGATTATGATGAAATACAGATAGTGTTGGCTGCGGAGAAGGAATCAGGTATAGGAAGGCTTGCTTAAGAAGTAATTTACAGTAAAGCAGCTAAATCCATATTGGCTGAGTTGAAGTGTACTACTCATCTTTCATTCCTTTCTTTTTTCATTCTTATGTTGACAGAATAACAGATTTCAATATTAATATGGAAAGGCTTTTACTGCATACAAGAAAATTGGCAAAGAAAGAGATAATAGCTGATAAAAGGTAATCAGCACAAACGTTCACATTTACCTTGGATTGTCTTATGTCCATTTAAATGTCAATACTGTAGTTAAATTGCATTCCAGTTTGAGAAGCATTCGCATTGAAATGGCATTGTTAGGTTTTCTGTTTGTTGACCATCAGTAACTGTTGCATTATGTGTGCTCCCTTTAGAATTTGTCTCATTCTGATGCTTATAGATTCATTCTGAAAGCCAAGTGGGACTGCTTCCAAAGCATCTCCGGTGAAAGCTCTGCAAGACCCGTTTTGCTCTTAAGAACTTATGCAAAGTTATTGTACTTAATGCATCTGAACACATATGACTGGAAGTTAATAAACAATTCTGTGAAATGTAATTCATTCTCTATAAACTAGTATGATTCCTGCAGGCTAATAGGAGGAAGATGCAGTGAAACTTGGTTGTTTTTTTGTTTCTTTTAAGTCAAAAATTTTTATTTGGAATATACATAGGGAGCGTATCTTTTGAGCAAGGTAACACTTTCTAATGTTGGAACAATAATGTTGACCGAACTGTAAATAGTAAATCCAGCCTGGAACATAGAGCAAGGTTGGTAAGAAGAGCAAGGTCTGGGACAGAACTAACTATTTGAAGGTTGTTTAAGGTTCTGATGCTTTTATGAACGAGTTATATAATATAGCTGCTTGTGATAGCAGGCTTGGACGAGACGGTTTGCAGTCCTTTCTTTCTATGTAAGTGTCATCTTTTAATAAGGCCATTGTGAATATGTAGAAACTATTTTTTTAGCACTTATTTGATTAACTTCTTGATAATTTGGAACTGCATTATCAAAGGGGTGAGTCTTTTGACTGCACAATGGTATTTGACTTCAAAAATTTCAGGGAATAGCTGTAGAATTTCTTTCATCTCTGCTTAGTCTGTGTCAAGGAACATTGTGAAATTGTTGGATTTAGCAACTGGCAATTTCAAATTTCTTTGGTAGTCTTCAGCAGAGAATTAATACGCTAAAGTATTTTCTCTCTCTCAATTGGGATTCATTTTATGTTGACTTCAGATCATGAGCCCCAATCATAACATACACGTAATAACAACAGAATTAGTTTATTACTATGATAATGCATGTACTGAATTAGAGTAATGCATTCCTCTAGTACTAGTTCAAGTGAATTTCAAGGAGCTCAGATCACTTTCAAAATAAACGGATTGGTGACTAATGTACTGTCCATTGTTTAAATGTGTGTTTACTGCACGCATGATGTGTAAACTATGTATTTTGCTCACTTCCTCCCAGCACATAATGTATTGTTCTCTAAAGTGGTAGGGGTTCCTCACCTCTGAAAGCTGCTATACAATTTTTAATGGTTTTGTTTCATGAAATGTTCAGAGAACTCAGACTAACAGTGCAGCAAACGTAGTGAGA